TCTGATTATGATTAATGCAAAAGTTCAAAGACATTATCAAAGAAATGACCTATAATGGTCAATAATGAACAATTGTAAAGGGTGTATGTTTAAGAGTGCAATTATGAGAGCAGAAGAGTACATTTACTTATCTGATTGTGATGGTTATGACGATAAATATGTTGATAAGATGAAGATAAAGGTGAAAATGGACAATGATGAAAAATGCAAAATATTTATCAACATCTTTATCACCATAATCACCCACAATCAGTTAGATAAATGTTACTCTTTTGGCTCCCATAATTGCACTCTTAAACAATACACCCTTTATAACCAAAAAACAATTTTACTTTAAAATAAGAAATATTCAAAATTAATAAAAGAAACTCAGGACCATTATACAATTGAAATAGAGAAACATGGACGCCACATGATTTGCAACTGCAAAAAGACCAATGGTTTAGTATAGTTAAGAAACAAAGGTTTATTCAGATTTAATTGCAACTTTACAATATGCACATAAACGATTGTTACCAAAGATTTTCTGGTTAAATTTAACCTAATGACTTAATCTTTTCATCGATGGTCTATGATATTATATTTACTCTGGTGACTTGATTATGTACAATCGATGGATTACTGAATCTTTCTCTCAAAGTGACGAGAGTTCGAGACTATACAATATAAAGGGTGGAACAAAAGTAGAGTCACAAACTTTGAGACTTAATAATTAAATAATGAAAACAGGCAATTCGATGGATTTTTATAAAATGATATTGCTGAAAACAAGCTACAAGTTGGTTATCTAATTATTGCAAATGGCCCAGCTCTCGATGCTTTACGTAATTTTTTCTTCAAGTCGACCAAAAGATTTTTGCCGGAGCTTTAGGTAAATTTTTTCGATATATTAGTCCATATTTTGGTGAAATCACACATTTGTCTAGAAGTGTTTACCTTTGCGAATATTCGACTTAACATAAAGTCCAAAATTCCTCAATTGAGCGAGCTTGGGGGTGGTTGGGAGGGTTAGAACGCTCGGTCAACACAATCGATTTTTTTCACTTTTCATGTGAAATTGGCAGACTTGATTAAAAAGGAGTTCGTTAGATTTCCGTTTACTAGCTATGGTTTGAATAAAAATGTGCAAATTTAGTATCAAATGAAAGCCAAGAATCTAAGCAGTTTAGTTCAATCTCTTTAAAAATTCAAACTGACCTCTATTATGAGATAAACCGATCAAAAATTTGTGACCCTACTTTTGTTCCACCCTTTAGTATTTATCTTGCTATTTTATTATCTCGTAGTATGATTGTGACTTTCGGACTGGACTGGACAGTATTTGTTGAATATACAATATACAGGGCATTTCAGCTAATTTTCCCGTTGCAAATTGGCTATATCTTTGCCCCTGAGTGACCATGAAGTTAGATATTTTGTTTATGGAAATTTGAGCTATACTCAATTCTCATATTTCAAGGTCAAGGTCATTCAAGGTCATTGCGTTATTATGTACAATTTGTTGAACAATTAAGTAAAATCTTACAATTTGCGCAATGAGGTAAATGAGTGTTTTTGCAGCGATTTCAGATCTAAATTGTCTTTTGTCTTTTACAGAATTTTTTACTTTTACCTTTTTCTCAATTCTTTGGTTGCTCTGATTGAAGCAACATAAACGATCTCGTTGAATTTTAATCATTTCCAGTTTGTATCAATTTGAAAAGAAAGGCTGATAAATGAAGTAAAAATCAATGGTGAATTGTGATGATTGATCTCACATATCAGATAAAATTGAATATCTGATTATGATTTATTACGAAGTTTTAAAGAAATTATTTCAAGCAATGACCAATGATGAGCAATAATGAGCAATCGTTTGCTTTATAATCACTAAATCAATTTTAGTTTAAATGTCCACAACTGAATGGAAGACTCACACTAAATATTGACACATTGATATAATAAAAAGAGACACATAATAGATAACCATAGAGATCAGAGAGAACACTGTAAAAAGACCAATTTCAAGAATTGTTACTTCTCCACATCTTGGCCAATGGTTTTCCTGTGATTAGGAATAAAATTTTCCGTTTGATTCAATTGAAACTATCAAAATGGAAAGAAATGAATCGATTGTTACCAAAGGTTTTCTGGTTAAGTCTAACCTAATGTTAACGCATTTCCCTCGATGGTTTATGATATTGACTCTTGGATTTTGTGGATTCATTAAAGAGACTCTTTGGATTGTTCAATTTATTTCAAGTGTTTCGAGACCTCGAGATTTTGAAACTATACGATTCACGATTTACAATGTTGTTTTTTTGTCTCGCTGTGTGATTGCAACTTTTACTCTGGACTGGAAAGCATTTGCGGCTTACATTGAACAATTGAGTCGAGTGGAGCTGGAAAAGGATGACGAAAGTGTCAAACGAATTAACCGGGAACGAAGAGTTAAAAAATGGTTTTGCTTTGTTGCTTTACTTTCATACATAATTTTAAATATCATTCACTTTGTGACTTTACTAAGAAAAGAAAGTTATACAGTTTCTATACTTATTGTTGATATTGTTTTATTCATCAGCCACTTTTTCCTCATTTATTTGATCATAGATCTTTGCATTTGCTTGAAGGTCGCTTTTCAATACATTAACCATCATTTGAAACACTTTCAGATAACTTCACCCAATCTAATGTTGTCTGAATTGAGACACATACGCTCGATGTACAGCTGTACCGTTCGAGCATCACAAGAGGCTGAAAAATTTGCCCGTCATTTTATCGCTTGGTTTTATTGCCAGTTCATTTTGTTCAACATTGCCAACATCGTCGATCTCTTAGGACAAAGAAATGAAAAAAGCATAATCTTCTTCTTGTTCATGGTAGTGGATGGCATCAATACAGGCTATTTAACAATGAAACTAGTTGCTGTTAACAAAGCTTCCACTTCAGGCATGGAGGATCTGTATGAGATCTCATACGATTTGAAATCTTACAATCTTCAAAATGAGGTAACTAAATGATTAGTTAATCATTTCAAATCTAAATTGTGTTTTCTCTTTGACAGAACAACCTTTTTCTCAACCGAATGCTCTGGCAAAATGTTGGTTTCACCTTCTCTGATTTATTTCTGATTAATCCTAGTTTCATTACTTCACTTCTGAGCTTTGTATTATCAATTGCTCTTATGATTGCTAATTTTCTGTATCATTAGACTTAAATATAAGAAAAAAAAGTCGATTGATTTTGTCTCTTAATTCTGAATACAATATTCAAAACTTTACAACCAAATCAAATTGCACTCATTTCTTTCAGCATTTCAAAATTAAACAAACCAACTATTTACTCTTAATCATTATTGTAGCATAATTGCAAACTAATATGGACTCGGAGGAAACGCATTTTCCAGTGAACTCAATCAAATCAATATCTCATTGAAAGATTTAGTGATGACCAGTTCGAATCTGTATCAATTTTAAAATAAAAAAAGATAATAAAAAGCAATGTTATGACGATTGAATACCTGATTATGATTTATTACAAATGTTTTAAGACATTATTCAAAGAAGTTACCAATAATGATAATAATGAAGGAAATCAATTTTACTTCGCAATACACATCAAACGGATAACCATGGACACCGCATTATGATTTGTAGCTGCAAAAAGATCAGTTGAAAAATTGTTGATTACCAACAGTTTGTTTGAAATTAAGAAACAAAAGTTTTCTAGATTCAATTGCAACTTTCAATATGGACAGAAGCGAATCAATTGTTACCAGAGGATTTCTTCTCAAGTATAACCAAATGAAATCGTCTTTCCCTCGATGGCTCATAATATTTACTCTTGGAATTTGTGACTTGATTAAAAACAATCGATGGTTAACTGAATCTTTCTCTCCAAGTGTATCGAGATCCCAAGAGTTCGAGACCATACGACATTGTATTGACCTTGCTATTTTATTATCTCGCAGTATGATTGTGACTTTCGCTCTGGACTGGACAGCATTTGTTCAATATGCTGAACAATTGAGTCAAATGGAGCTGGAAATCGATGATGGAAGTGTCAAACAAATCAAACGAGAACGGAAACTTAAAAATTGGTTTTGCTTTGTTTCTCTAATTTCTTATGTTATGAATTATAAAAACTCATTTTTGATGTTGAAGTTGAATATGGAAATTTACAAAATTTTTAGTCTTTTAGTCGTTATAGTATCATTAGCTGCGCACTTTTTCCTCATTTACTTGATCATAGATCTTTGCATTTGCTTGAAGGCCGCTTTTCGATACATTAACAATCACTTGGCACGTTTCGAGGAAACTTCGCCCAAACGAATGCTGTCTGAATTGAGACGTAACCGTATAATGTATAGTTGTGCCGTTCGAGCATCACAAGAAGCTGAAAAATTTGCCCGTCATTATATCGCTTGGTTTTATTTCCAGTTTATTTTATTCTTCATTGTCAATATAGTTGATATTCTAGGACCGAAAAATGCAATAAGTGTAACCTTCGTCTTGTTTATGATACTGGATATGATCACTGCCGGCTATTTAACATTGAATCTGGTTGCTGTCAACAAAGTTTCCACTGAAGGAATGGAGGATTTGTACGAGATTTCATACGATTTAAAGTCTTACAATCTTCAAAATGAGGTAAATCAATTATTAGTTATTAGTTCAAAACTAAACAGTCTTTCGTCTTTTACAGAATAACCTTTTTCTCAACCGAATGCTCTGGCACAATGTTGGTTTCACTGTTTCTAATTTGTTTCTCATCAATCCTAACTTCATTACTGCACTTCTAAGCTTTGTGCTAACAATTGCTCTTACAATGGCAAACTACTTGTACAAATAAACCATGTTAATGCCAACCTGTTGGTTTGAACTTTAAAGAGACTAACTGTATAATATTAATAATAAAACAAAAGATTAATCGGTTAATCCATTCAAGTAATTCAACTGAAAGTAGCCTCAATTCGCGCATCCAAACCGATAACTCAGATTGAACTCATTTTATTTAACCTTTCAGGATTATTCAGTCTAGTCGAATTGAAAATCAATGTTTTATACATTATGACGATTGATCTTACAATGATCTTAATATTCTTGTTAGATATTATAATAAAATTGAATACCTGATTATGATTTATTACAAAAGTTTTAGAGACATTATTCAAAGAAATGACCAATAATGGTCAATAATGAACAATGCTTTGCTTTATAATCATTTAATCAATTACATTTTAAAATCGAATATATTTCACAATTAAATGACTCACAATGAATAAGAGAAACATGAAGGTAATCTTAGACGTCACCTAAAGCACCGCAAAAGGTCCAATTGTTGTTTTCTGAACGTCTAGACCAAAGGTTTTTCTGCAATTAAGAAACGAATATTCATTTGAATTCAATTAAACTATCAAAATGGACAGAAACGAATCGATTGTTGCCAAAGGTTTTCTGGTCAAGTACAACCTAATGTTATCGCCTTTCCCTCGATGGTTCATCATATTTACTCTTGGATTTTGTGGATTCATTAAAAGCATTCGACGGATCCTTGCACTTCTTTCCTTTAGTTCTTCAATGGAACCAAGATCCCAAGTATTCGATATTATCCGATATGGTATTTACGTTGCCATTTTATTGTCGCGTTGTGTGATTGTAACTTTTGGTCTTGACTGGAAAGCATTTGCAGCATACATTGAACAATTGAGTCGCCTGGAGCTGGAAAAGGATGTGGAAAGTGTCAAACAAATCAAACGAGAACGAAAACTTAAAAATTGGTTCTGCTTTGTTTCTTTACTTTCATACATGATGATAATGCTAACCAGCCCGGTGAATCGGCGAAGAAGTGGGATCGATTTAATCTGTGAAACTTTCGTAGATTTAATTTTGCTGATTGCACACTTTTCCTTGGTTCACTTGATCATAGATCTTTGTATTTGCTTAAACGTCGCTTTTCAATACGTTAACCATCATTTGGCAAACTTTCAGATTAACTCAGCCGATCCAATGTTGTCTGAGTTAAGAAGTAATCGGTTATTTTATAGCTGTACCATTCGAGCCTCACAAGAAGCGGAAAAATTTGCCCGTCATTTCATCGCTTGGTTTTATTGCCAGTTCATTTTGTTCAACATTGTCAACATTGTTGATATCTTAGGACCAAATGTTGAAACAGGTGTAACCTACGGCTTGTTTATGGTCTTGGATATTATCAATTTAGCCTATTTAACGGTTAAACTGGTTGCTGTAAACAAAGCTTCAACTCAAGGAATGGAGGATCTGTATGAGATTTCATACGGTTTAAAATCTTACAGTTTACAAAATGAGGTAACTAAATGATTTGTAAATCATTCAAATCTAAATTGTCTTTCATCTTTTACAGAATAACCTTTTTCTCAATCGAATGCTCTGGCAAAATGTTGGCTTCACCTTCTCTGATTTATTCCTGATTAATCCTAATTTCATTACTTCCCTTCTAAGCTTTGTTTTAACAATCGCTCTCATGATTGCTAATTTCCTGTACAAATAGCCTTCAGCTTCAATACCAGAAACAAAGTTTAAAAGTTAACCACAAGATGACTCTACTTATCAATTGACTTTGACTTTCAATTCTGTTGTTGAATATGATATTCAAACCTCTACAATCAACTCAAATTGCACTCATTTCTTTAAACATTTCTAGATTATCAAAGCAACCCAACTACACTTAATCATCGTTAATATCACCAATTGAGATAATCTATGTTAGGTTCAATTTGGTTCCAGAGGATTAATCAATAAGACCACAAACACTCCTGTTATACCTTATATGTATCGATAGCATTTCTTGATGTTCAACTCTCCTTTGGGTGTGTAACGTTTTATACCCAAATTCAGTGTCACTTTAGCTTATTTGAAACAGTAAGTTTAAAGATAATTTATTAAAATTATGATTAACTTTAATAAAAATATTAAACCATCAACCAAATTGGCCTCAGAAGTAAATCTTGCTTGAATATTTCTTGCTGTTCAATTGTTGTTGAATTGAAACGATAACCTTGACAATTGATGTTAACTAATCTAAATTACTTTTTAATAAAAGGACAGCTTATTCATATTTAAGGTTTGGTATTGATATATTAACCAATAGAACAAATAAAAAGTATGAATAATTTGTGTATTAATTTATATATTAGTTGGTCAAACGTAACAAAATGTATAACTCCACCTGAATAAATCAAAAGCGATTTGTTAATGAGAGTAAAAGTATTACTTTTACCTAAAATCAAATAAGTTGAATATTTTCACTGCACTAAACTCAAGATTCAACCTTTCCAGTCGTTTATAATAGATTGATTGTTTTTAATTAAAGCAAGAAAACAGTTATTAAAAACAATTCACTAGTTACAAGCTCAACTATCAAAAATGTATTAATTTTAAACTTTCATGATCAACAATAGTATGAACCAAATTGAGATCAATTGTTGTAATTTTCAACAGTCGATTAGCATTTTTGCTTCGCTCAAATGTGGAAACGATTCAGGTTAATGAGCAAAACTGACTTTTTCAAGGTAGCCTACAGTACACCATCAACAATCAAACACTGGTCAAACATCAACTATCAGCCACCAATGACCAATTACTAGCAATATATTTTGGTCTTTGGTCAATCTGACAGTTTAATTGGTATTCTTGGACAAAGTCAATGATTCGGAAAACCGCCAATCCTCATGAATTAACCATCCCATTAATCACACCATCAATTAATTTACTCCTTTCATGTCAGTCTGGATTGATTAATTAGTGATTCAAATAAATGATTCTTTGTTACACTGGTAGCCATTATTGTACTTGTTTTGTTGATTGTTGATGAAAAATCTAAAATAAGTGAGAAAAGGAAACAAAATTAGTTGAACCAGATATGATTGTTAATTGCTGTTTATACAGTTAGGAGATTGCTGAATTTATTAACTAACCTTGCAACATTAAATAATAATTTGCAACTTTCGCTACTTCTTTTGCGTTTCTCCTCAAGAAGCTATTATCATGATTATTGCCATTATTCCTAATTGAATGGCTTTATTAACTGCATCTGAAATGAAAAAGCAAACAGTTGAGCTTAATGATTTAAATTATTTGCCGAGCAAAGATTTTTTTTAGTAAAATTAAATGAAAATAATAACAAAATGAAAAAGTTGCCTCAAGATTTGTTTTGGAATGAAAGAGAAGTAAAAA